ATGTTTATTAGTTTTTTTATGTGGTAACAAATATTTAACTGATGAAAAACTAAAATGTGAATTTCTAGTATTGCCATATTATTATGATTTTATGATAATAGGACATCTATAATATGTTGAATTAGAAAATATCACGACTGTCTTTTCTATCAAGTTCTGACATGTTAGAGCAGTGATCGACAAAGTGCTGCTCTGACTTTCAAACTTTCCAAGAGGATGCAAGCACATTGTTCAGATAAATAAATATTAAATATCAAAATTTACTTATGTTTAGTGTAATAAAAGTTTAATAAACAAACAGTTTTCTTTTATTTAATTGTAATGTTTCATTTGGCACTTTGGCTTAGTTTCCTCAGAGGTTTTAGTAGGAATGTAATGTATGCGTGTCTGTCAGGGTATCGGGTCGAAGCTGCTGCTGTCGATGGGGTACGTGCCGGGCGGCGGGCTGGGCGCGGCGGGCGCGGGCCGCCTGCAGCCGGTGCAGGCGCGTGTGCTGCCCGCGGGACGCGCTCTCGACCACTGCCTCGCCTCCGCACACGCCGCACACGATCCACTCAAGGTATATCTTGTAATATACAAACTGTCGCTTGCGTGAAAAAAGCCGTGTTACTCATAACAAAGCTTTATAATGATGAAAGAATTTTTGAAATTGTTCCAATAGTTTTTGAGTTGTTTCAATACAATACAAGAAAAAGGCTAATGTTTCGTTTTTATAATATTAGTACAGTTATTTTACGGGAAATACTTCAAATTATATTCAATTTTTGTTATATGCAAAAACCTAGTTAAAATCACTTATAATGATGTGATCTAAAGATGGTGCTCGCTAGTTTAATAAATGTCTATTCTTGATGTTAAAAAATGTGTTACAATAGTCTTATAGTGCTTACCATAAAAAAATCAAATTATATGTAAGAAGTATAATCTAAAATGTTTAACTTTTTGTGTAGGTTGAACAGAAATTAAAAAGACTCCAAAAGAGAGAAGAGGAAAGAAATAAAAGAGCGTACGAACGCGAAAAGGAGCGAGAGAGACGGAACGTTTTCAACTTTCTCAATCGAACTTTGGGCGATTCTAGTGGGAAGCCTGAAACATCAACGGAGACATCACTAACCGATATAAAACAATCCACCAACAAAGATCTTAATATAGAACAATTTAAAATAACACAGGACACCAAGAAACTTGAATTAGAGTTAAATAAATTGAAGAATTCTTTAAATAAATATTCATCCGGTTCAAGTGTGTCACTAAATATTAAAAGTCAAATTGCAGAAAAAAGTAGGGAATTGGATAATCTTAAAAATCGAGAACAAAATATTGAAAAAGAACAAAGAAGACGCAAGGATAAGAAGAATATGACAGTGTTTTAAATAATAAGTACATTATGTATTGTTATTTAAAAATCGTAAAATGAAATCTGTTAATAAAAATTAAGATTGTTAGTGTGTTGTTTTAATGTACCTTTTTTACACTATTATTACAGCTACGAACTCACGATTTCAACTGCAGATAACAAATCTATATTTCTATACTGTTATAAAGAGGAAAGATTTGTATTTTTTGTATGAATTGAAATAACCCAAAAACTACTGGGCCGATTATAAAAATTGTTTCACCATTGAAGAGGAAATGTATCTGTGAGTAAATTTTATTATTACTAATGTTTAGGAGCTATTAATAAACAGCGTGTTTCTTGACGCCGACGTAAAAATTCACTAAACTCACAGCTACCAGGCTTAGAAATTTGGAATCTGGCATCAGTAAATTTCCATTATTACGTAGATTACTACTAAGTTAATACTTTAAGTGATAAGTTAAAACAAAGGGCAAACGTAAGTTATGAACTTTAAAACTCCACACGGGTGAAGTCGTGGGGAACAGCTAGTTAAAGATATAAATAAAAACAAATATTTTAATTATTACAAATATTTATATTTACATGTGATGTTTTTAGTTTTATAATAAGCGTACATGGCATATAATTACAATTAATAATGACATTTCACTATAAATTAGATTTTTGTACTATCAAACAATATTACGAAGTACTTAATAAAATGTTAACGCAAAGAGTGACTAGCAAAATGACATTTGCTGCTTTTATTATATTAAAAAAATGTAATATTTTAGCGACAGTGGGTCAAAAATTTATTTAGGACTTACAATTAATATTATCTATGTTATACCTAGTATAGGTATTTTCATGGCTTTTGAAGCCTCTGAATAAAGTTTGAAAGCGTTACCGCAATCGTAGCAATTTTTGCGACTAAAAAAATTCATTTACAACTAGAATGAGTATATGAAATAACGATTAAATGTTACATAATATTATTCATTGCGATTAATTTTAATCTTAAATTTGCTACGTGAGCAACATATTTGTACTCTTTTATTACGAACCAAATTATTTACCTACATAGCCAATATACTAAAAAGATCTTATGTTCAAATATTTAAATACACAAATGAGTCACATATGAAGTCCCCTTGAACATATCAAATTATTTTAATAGAGAAGTTTGTCTTAAAATATACTCAGTAATAATCATTTTTTAATGTTTACTGACATTATCTTAAATAAAAAGATAGTTCCTTTTACTGTTTAAAAATTATTACAACTTTATTATGGTTCTATTCTTATTTCTTTCATTCTTTTTGAGAAGAACAGAGAAAGCAATATTCAAATTGTGTCTAAATTCTATGTTACTCTTGGTACTGCAGTTATATACCTCATTTGTGTATTTAAATTCGTTTTATATAATTGTCTATGTGACCCACTAAATGTCTTATTCTTAGAAACGAGAATTTCAATGCATTTATAATATAAAGTTCATTGAACTAACTGGTAAAAGACAATGGATTAAAATTTATAATGTACTTTATGCAAAGTGCGTTGTACACGTGCATTTGTCATGTTGGATAAACACTAGCTGACGTACTCAGAGACCTCCCACTAAGGGAACCCTTATGAATATTGTCTCTGAGTACGGCAGTAATTAAACTACATTTACTCTGGTCCACTCTAGTAATACCGTTACACTGCAAATTAAGTATTCATTGATAATTTAAAGTATCTCCTTTGAATTTCGTAATAGAAATTCTTAAAGAGTTATTTACAATTTTAATTTCCCCATCACCATCCACTCTGGCCTCACGCATGCTTAGTTAAAATTTGTTTTAAAATAATTAGTTCCTATATATTATATTTAATATAATACATTAGAGAGTGACGAAATTAAAGAGAGACATTGTTTTGTACTAGACTAAAAGATTTCCATATAACGTTAGATATAAGTACATGAGACTCCTTGACGCGAACTTACACGATGTTATTTGATGTCTTTATTGTGATTTAAAAATGGAATTAAACGAGGAATTTTCAGACGCAGCCTATTACAGTAGCAAATGAGATTCAAAACATAACCACTAGTGATATATATATATATAAAAACAAATTTATTATATAGTCAATTGTAAAAGATATCTTTTGAATGTAGTGTTAACATCTCTTGTGAAGACATCACCCGCCTGTCCTTTATCGCATTTGCAATATCCCCGGAATTATACAAAACGGCCACATTTAAGGTGCGTTTCCATTAAGAGCAGAGCTTAACAAAGGTGCGTTTACACGGAAACTCCAATATCTAAGGCTGTAATTTATAAAGCGTACTTCGACTTTGAGATAATTTATTTATTATCTACATGCCAAGCAATTTCTATTAACTTGTGATATATCTAAGCTAAGACTAAGTACGCTCTATGAATTGCAGACTAAGACTTAACGAATGACTTAAAAATCATGAAATGCAAAGTGACAATATGCAACCCCACACGAAACAATTTACTAAAACCCAAATTATCCACTTTTGTAATTCATAGAAACAAACAACTTTTATACAAATATATCTGCTTTTTACATACGATAATTGATCTTTCCTTTTAATGCCCGATTTCCACCTGGCCAGTAGAGTCGGACAGTTCTTTATGCCAGTTACTGGTCAGGTGACGACGCGCACTAATTTGACTGTTACATATTTTTGTTGCACAAGTCAATAAACAGATTAACATACAATGCCCGACAACCTTTCTTTTTAATGCCCGGTTTACACGGTTTACACCTGGCCAGTAGAGTTGGACAGTTGGTAAGCCAGTTACTGTCCACGTGACACCGCGCATTAATTTAACAGTTAAATATTTTTGTTGCACAAGTTAATAAACAGTTTAACATAATACCCGGCTACCTTTCTTTTTAATGGC